TATACTATATATATATATATATATATATATATATATATATATATATATATATATATATATATATATATATATATATATATATATATATATATATATATATATATATATATATATATATATATATATATATATATATATATATATTCGCGTGGGAAACTATCGACAACTTGCTGATACGTTGACGACAAGTTGTTTATTACGTTAGTAATGTTACTTATAGTATCTACTTACTATCAAACTCATCGAACCACGAAGACTTACCTCAAAAATCTCTAACGAATTGTCGTAGATCTTTGCTCGCTGAGTGCCGGGGTCGCGGTCAAATATTTTGGCCAGTCGCGCAAGGTAGACCCCATTGCTGAGTGCGCGTTCCATATCGATGGTCTCGGGGAGCTCCTCCTGAAGACAAGCCTCCATCCACCGTCGTGTGCTTTCCAGGTGACACAGATAGTTGTAGGCTGTGTGTCCCTGTCGTTCCTCGTCCATGGTCTGGGGCCTGTCCCTGGCGGCCGGGTTGTTTGTTATTTTCATGACTGTGTTGATGGGCCGCTGCTTGATCATCTTCGTTTTTTGTTTTCTGTACAAAGGGCTCCCATGTTGCAATGAGTCCGTCGACTTCTCAACGGATTTTTCGCGTACATCTTCCTTGGGGTCCTTTCGCAGGCTCACATTTCGGGCCAACTTCCAGCCCTGTCCCATACGTTCAATAATGGATTGCATGTTAGCGATAGATAAAAATAATCTAATTACGTAATATCGTATCTGTGAAGTGATCGCGTAAAAACTGAAGACGTGACAATAACAGTCTAGTCCTTATTAACATGGGCAGTTGTGGTTGAGTTGAATACATATGAATACACGATTATCTATTTTCGATATTGTGCAAGTAACAATACCACCCGCCGACGTTTTGTCGAATACATATGAATAAATACACGATTAATCATGCAAGTAACAATACCACCCGCCGACGTCTTCGTTGAAAAGCCTCTGGCAAAGACTCAAGACGATACAACTATGTATTTGATTGGTCAACACCAGCTATCAGATAGCTTATCTGAACAATCAGTTAATCGCAATTCACAAAGCCTCCTTCCAAATTAAACAAAAAAAAGCATCGATGTAAGTTTAAACAATAAATGCTACGGTAGCTACCCGCCAACGTCTTCGTCGAAAAGCATCTGGCAAAGACTCAAGACACGATGCAACTGCATATTTGATTGGTCAACATCAGCTATGAGATAGCTTATCTGAACAATCAATCACAATTCACATATCCTCTTTCTAAACTAGATCAAAAAAAGCTATGACGCACATACATAGCCGTCTGCAAAAAAACTAAAAAGAACAAGAAGGCTATGGCATAGCCTTCTAAATTATACAGAAGGCTATGGCTATAGAAGGCTATGGCTATGGAGTATGGAGTAAGGACGCATCAAAAAAAAAATGTGGACGTACGATGTCCTAGGATTACCAGCCCGGTCCTATCCAGTCAAGACAGGGCATCAAAACCACTCTGCCTTACATCTTCATAAAAACCTGAAAACCCCAGTACATATGCAGAATCCCAGATATATGGCAACCCACAGGAAAAAACCATATGTTTAATTTTTAGAAGGCTATGAAAAACCTTTTAAATTTCAGTTTTTCATTTCTCTTGTAATTGCCATTTCCTAAATTAGTTTGTTTATATTTGTGTGGCAATAAAAAGTATTTTTTTTATGTGGTTTAAAAAAAAATAGAGCTGGTCGTTTACAGCAGCGGCCAGACAGGTCAAGCAAATATACAAAAGCCCTAATATTTACATAGGTGGGTAACAGATAGCTGCAAACAATAGCTGCAAATACTGTCTGCACGGAGCTCGGGGGGAGAACGGTTCTTCATTAGCTCTATATCCTACTGATTGTACATTATGAGTTATGGTTTAGGTGGTTTCAGTGGAGGGGGCCGTAGCGGTGGCGGCAGGGGAGGTGGTAGCCGAAACAGAGGGCATTATGACGATGACGATGATCGCACTGGTTACTCATCTTTAGCTACGGATGAAGATGATATGGGCGCATTCGCACCCAAAAAGGTATAATAAGCGTGTTTCTGATAGTTCTTCAAATTAATTCTAACGATGTTGGCTAGATTTCATTGTAATTTTATACCCTGCACGTCCTGACGTGTACCGATAAAGATAAAGGTGTGTCTGGGGTCTTCAACGTTCAAACATAGTCCTTCGGGTCAAAACCGATCCGAAACGTACAAATTCCTTCTCAGAGTTATTCTACTATGTAACGTACATGTCTGCTTCGTCAAAACGAACTTGGTATTGTTGTAACCCATTAGCATCAATACCATATATATATATATATATATATATGTATGTATATATATATAAATATATATATATATATATATATATATATATATTATATATATATATATATGTGTGTGTGTCTACTATCGTACTTATTATTATTTAGTATGTATGTATGTANCGNGAGCATGCGACTCTTATATATATGTATNTATATATACCTACTAATAT